ACGTGTTTCAGAGGAAGAAACACAGTGATGCTATTTTTTTACAAACCTTTTTCACGTGCTTGTTGGGAAATATTTAAAATATGTTAAGTGCCTCTTAGATGCTATAGAGACAAGTTACTACTAATCATTATTTTACTTGGCTGAATTTGACATGTATATTTTCAGAGATACCTCTGAATGCCTGATATGTAAGGCCTTAACTAAAAGAAACAAACAATCTACTGCAGGTTTTATTGGCAGGAGGGACAAATAAAAGGAAGAGGATGGCAAAGCAATGCAGAGATAATGCTGAGATTAAAGTAAGGAACAATATAAACATTTTGGCTGAGACAGAAGCGAAGTCACTGTGGAGGAGAATTAAGGACAGCAGAGGCAATAGTTTTCAGATGTTGACATACATTTTCAGAGCAAGGAGGAAAGAAAAGAGATAAGAGAAGGCTGTCAGTTTTATGACAGTTCACAACTTCTTTACCTGACTGCTAGAGGAAAATAGACAGGAAAATAATATGAAGATTATTCTTCCTTGAATGCTCCCATTTCATTTTCACGAGTATTAATAAAGGCCACATATTGACATTGATGAGCAAAAAGATCCTTGAGGAAGGGAAGCACATGTTTCCTTATGCAGATATCTCAACAGTTTACAGTCACAGGCAGCTCTGAACTCAAGAGTAGGAAATGAAGCTTGTATGAAAACTAAAGTGGAAGTGTGGGGCATTTAGGGGTTTGTGATCATGGTTTCACATTAGACTCTAAATGCTCTTTAGGGCAGGAACACTTAGAGGAGTTCAGAAATGTTTTTGACTTTAAGAAAGCTGACTTTGGGAGAATGTGATATGCCCCAAGGAATTTTTACTGGAATCCTATGAAACATGGGAAACATAGAGCTGAATTTTTAAAAAACATCTAAAGAGACTGAAATTTAAAGCCGTCCTGCTTAATTCTGAGGAGGAAAAAGGGTAACTGAGGCCAAACACAGTTAAGCAAAAAATGCAGAATTTAATATAAGTGACAGACATAAGACTTAAGAAATCATATATATGTGTATATATATATATATATGATTTGAATATATATATATATATATGAAATTTATTTCATTTATATCAGTGCTAGAAAGAACTGGGAGAAAAATTGCTTAAGGCATATAACCAAGGGAAGAAGTTAGCAAGTTAGCATGCCCTTTTTCATTTGAAGAAGAATAGTAAGAGGTCAGATGACCACTTAAATATTAGCATCACATTGTGACAGAGTCTCCAGTCTTGCTTAAAGGAAGGAAATTTGAATTGATGATGCATGCACATCCTAAGAGTTACAGCCATACCAGCCCATAAGGAACGTGATGCTCAGATTCAACCTGCAGTTCCTACTCCAGGCAAGCTGTAGGACAACTGCAGAAACAGGTGGGAGAAAAGGGGAAGAATTCTCTACATCACATGCAGAATATTAGATTCAGAGAAAAAAACAACATCTACACATGGTTGAAAGGCTTCTTTTATTTTCCACTTTCAAACAGTGACATAAAATCCTAACTGAGAGATATTATATCTAAGTTCTGTGATGACAAGACAGACCAGTGAGACCTGGAGTTAATCTTCACTGTTGCAGGAAAATGCAGTGAAATGAAGCAAACTCCTATAAAACTATTAGCTTAATATCTGCCATGCAAAAATAACAGAAACACTTAAACACCTTAATGGGCAAAATTTAATTAGAAGCAACTGTGCAATTCTTGGGGGAAAATTAATGCATACAAATTAATAGTAACTGTCCTGCTGAAAGATAAGAAAATTAAAGACAGACCCCAACTCTGTAAAAATTATCCAACTTCTGGGGTTAAAAGACCTATTATGGAGTTCTTATGTGCTGCAGGGCTGCTTGTTTCCAATTTACTGAGGCAGTTCATTGCATTTCAGCTTTAACTTTTGAAAGAAATTTAAAATTATTTTAACATTATTTTTGTTAATGCCAAATAGATTATTTAAATCCAAGTATACAATAAATTGCCTACACACAATATGAACATTCTGATTGTGAGACAATTGTAGTGAGATAATTTCTGAAGTACTTACATTTTACAGGTGAGTAAATTGTACTGGAAAGTGATCTTTACATGCCTAGAGCAGAAGGTAAAGCATGACTTTTCTAGCCATGTGCCTAAAAATCTTGCAAAATAAGTGAAAGCACCTTTTGTAGTGTATCAAGTTCAGTATAGAAAGCAAACTTGCCATGAAGCTCCTGTGAAAACTGTTGATTTTAAGAAAGGAACAAACAAAATGTTATTTCCCCAATCCTTGCAGCAGGTTAGCATCCAAAAACATTTTTAAAAAGGGTCTAAAAATATACTGATAGGAATTTGATAAAAGCTGAAAGAAATGATACTGATAGGTTTGTATTTGGCAAGACACAAGGAAGGAAGGAGAGAGACAGGCATTAGAAGCATTAGCAGGAACAATTCCCAAGGCCAGTAAATATCAAGGGGCCCCACAGCAGTCAAAAGCAGAGTGAAGAGATTTAGAGCCAAGGCATTCAAAGGGTCTACTTAGTTTGACCAGAAGACTGTCTCACATTTCAAGGTTTCTTCTTCAGTACAGCTAAGCTTTTCAATGGGAGGCCTTGACCCCAGGGATCACTAACTGAAGAAAACAAATGTGTTTTCAAATGAATGTATTGGCACTGTCAGAACTGACTGTACACAAGATTAAATTATGTTTATTTTCAATTTCCAGAATACCATGTTAAATTTTAGAGAGACAGACAGACAGAAATGTTTCCAAATAAGACATGAGAATCTGAGCATCAGATTTTCTGTGTCAGCTGTGATTCAACAGCAGAATTCCTGTTAACTGAACTGGCTAACTCTCCTCCCAAAATGTCAACCTGAGGCTTTCTTGTCTTCAGCAATATTAGTAAAAGTGGCAGCAGGGGACACGTGCTGTCAGTCCATTTTAATTATTTCACTGCTCTTCCTTGCTTTTTTGTGATGGATTGGGTTTTGGTCTAGTATTTTTATTGTACAGATGTGATTCCCTAAATGAAACAAACAGTAGCTTGTCTGCCTTTGACAAGGAATGGAAATCAAATTAGAATTAAAAAAAAAAAAGGAGAAAGTGATTCTGGGTATCCATCCTGAGATGATCTAAAAAGGAAAGTGATTGCAGAAAAAAGGTATCACATCTCTACACAGAGGAATTCCCTCCTAGTTCCTCTGCATGCTCCTTCAGACAAGGGTACTTCACTGTGTCCTTCTACCTTGATCATGCTTGAGCAGCTTCACAGCCTTCCTGAGTTCCACAGGAACCAAGTCGGGACTGCATTAAAAGCAAGGTAAGATGGGAGTACTGGAAGATAGAGATGGAGCCCTCATTCAAGGGAAGGCAGCCTATGAGACACTAGGTAATTTCAGATAAACATCAGACATCTATTGTGGTTATACACAGTCCTATTTCAAGCCCACATTCCACTCTGTATCTGAATTCCTCTCTATTCTCATGTATGGAGCCACTAGAAATAATGAGTATTCCTGAGGGATGTGTGCTTATGCATTGTCCCAAAACAGTAAGTATAAATGAGCTGAATTTAAAATCCAGAAACTGTGTTCCCAGAGGGAGACCAATAGGGACAGAGAGGAAGAAGACCATGGGTAGCACTATTTCAGCAGAAAACATCTGAGCACATGAATAACGTGAAAGTACAGTGAGGACTTCCAAAGAGCCACATACTAATCATGAATTTTGAGGAGTGAGTATGTACTCCTTAGTAAGAGGTATGACAAAGCAGGAAAGTGGGTCTCACAAAGCACAGACTTGTTGGGTCAAGTGTCCTTTTCCTGTTTGGCAAGTCCTTTTGTCTCTGCCCTCCTTATCATCCTGACACCTTACCACAGCACAGAATGACAGACAGCTCTTAATGACTTCCTAGCATTTGATTCTGATACACAGGTCCCTTTTCAACATAACATGAAAGTATCTATTCCCCCTGAATTTAAGTTTTAGAACCCATGCCCTCTTCCAAACACGCAGGCCCCCATTCCCACCCCTGAAATCTGTGTCAACAACACAAAGGTTCTTTTGTCACCCCCTTGTTTGAATCACACAGCTCTCCTGAATGGACACACTGACAGATGATGCTGTGTCAGCAGCCAGTGGGGCTTGTGTCACTTTCCCCAGGAGAGGAGAAATCCTCTCCTGGGTACACCCACTCCTACATAGCACAATTGGGGCTACTGTTCCCTGTGTTCAGAAGCCAAGCTTCATCCTGTACCATCTCTGAGCATTGCCACCATCCCACCTGACCTGGACATACTGTTGGTTTTTTCCCTCTCCCAAAATTCTCATTAGGTGATTGAAGCACAGCGGTTCGGGATTTGGTCCTGTCAGCAGTATGCCCTGCTTTAGCACCCCTGGTAGATTTCACTGAGACGTTCCTGGGAGTAAAGACGTGTTCTGCAAATGAGCATTTGCTGAGTGGGACCCTGCAAAGCACACGAGCACGTCTAAACCAACGTTTTGCAGCACCCACAGAGATGTCAGCTGGACAGGGATACTCAGCAGCTGGAACTGAAACCCTACCCTGAAACACCGAAGGTGGTACTTGATAGCTGATGGTACAAGCCCATCAGTGCCCACCTTCTTCTGCTTTCCCTACTTGCAGCTGGAGAACAGATGATCATATTCCCACTCACAGGGAGCTGTTCCATGCTTTGTCTTGTTTCCCTTGATGATGTTTTAGCCCCCTCAGCACCACCTCTGGCACTCAGGGAGGGCGACCAGAGAGGAGCAGGTCTCTGTGAGAGGGCCACCCGCTCCTCCAGCCTGCTCCTTGCTCCTTCCCAGGTAGCTGGCTGTGAGGGGCCAGCAAGCAGGCTAATTTAGAGCTCTAAAAGCTGGCAGCGGGAGTGCAATTAAGCCGTTTTCACAGACTGCTGGCCAAATGCAGCAATTTATTGGCTGAGTGATTGGATTATTCATTTGCAAAGCTACGAGAGGACATTTTCTTACCACTTCAGTTGGCCTGTAGTACTTGTGATTGACTGTCACATGAATCTTGCCAGTCTCTTTGCATCGTCCCACTTCATTTTCATTCTTCCCTTCCCACCTGTAAAGAAGATAAACATTTAATCAACCCATAATTACTTTAGTGCTCTGATCTTACCAACATTTGGCCTGCTTTCATTTACTTGAGGCTGGTGTCAATTCTTCCTGCAGGACAGTATAAACTCATTAGCTAAAGGAACAAAGGGAGAGTTTAGACTTAAATAGAGTAACAATGGCTTTTGAAGTCTCTTTGTTTTGGTTTTTGATTCAGGAAGGTCTAAAATGCAGGACTTCCAAATTAAACACATAATGCTAAGGGAAAATAAAATGCCCTGATTTCAGAATGTCTCATATATCTGCAAATAAATATGACAGTGAGGTTTTTCATTTGTGGATTGTTTCAAAGCTGTTTTCTTAAAATATTTTTAATTCCTGTATTTTGGCCAATACTTTCAGGAACTCTTTAATCTGTTAATTTTATAGACGTGAAGCTCTGTTTGAATAGCATTAAACTGCATAATTTAATTTGTCCTTGACTAGAAAAAATAAAACAAAAACAGTTCTTGGGTTTTTGGTCCTACCTCAACATGGCACTCCACGCACATGCATTGTAAACTTGACTTGCTACCTGCAAGCTGAAATCCAGCTCCCTTGGTCCAAATTAGTTTCATATGTGTTGAACAGCCTGCAATTTGCTATAATTTATGTGATCTGGCTGCTCTGTGAACTATTTTCCTAGAGACTATCCTGGTTTCGGGAGCAGCAGAAGAGGAATGGTTTGGTGGGTGACTAGCTCTGTCTTCGGGGAGGTCAGGCTGCAGCCTGGAAGCCTGGGGACAATGCTCCCAAAATATTTATTTATAATAAATAAATATTTTATTTATTTAAAAATAAATGCTTCAGGTGACACACGTAGGAACGTACATCGGTCCATCAAAATTCATCTACTGAATATACAAAATCCAGAGTTATGACTGAAATTCTATCCTCTCTCCGCTTTTTGCTTTTAAGTAATATACCACGGGGCTCTGAAACCAGCTTGGCTTGAAATGTGATGATGAAATCTGCTAGCTTTTTTTACGTTTAAGTAAAATCTGAATAAATTAAATCAGCACAGTGATTTAGATTATTTAGCCTCAGTCACCAGCAAGGAAAGAAAAGCACCCCTAACCTCCCACTTACTAATTATTCTCCCAGCTCTTGGGATTTTGTCGCAGGTATGATTTCTCCTTGCTCCCCTGCTCCCTCAAGCTCCTAGAAGAATTTAATTCTTTGACAATCTCAGCCTTCATTTTTGAGTTTCTAGCCCTGAGGGCTAAGGAGAAAAGTCTGAAAATGTGACCTCTGTGTACCCATGAAGGTTTAAACAGTGAAAGGCAGAAGGAAATACCAAATATGCATTACTGCAAGTTTTAAATCTCACAAATTTTTAAGCACAACTCATGACTTTTGAATGACTAGCAAAGCCTGTAGGATGCTCGATACTGGGAACATTTCACATTGAAACAATTTCCTACAGATAATAATGACAGTGAAGTCAGCTGCTAATGGGCATGCCGTGATGCTAAAGATGATTTATAATTTAAATTTTCTTTCTTTCTTTTTTTTTTTTTTGCAGTTGCTCTGTTTTGAGCCTGAACTGCAAAGTTTTCATTCAGAAGCCAAAACTAACATTAGTCCCTCCCTTTAAAGGGCAGAGGGTAAAAATGTGCAGGACTCAAATGAGCTTAATAGAAAACTAGCCGTCACCAGTAAAACAACAGGAAGCGCTTAGATCAGGAGACGTCAGTTGTGTTGGAGGTCACTGAGCAGAGAACCCCATTTAACACCCAAAAGGCTCCACAAGGCTCGGCCAAGCCAGTAAAGACTCACTTAATGTCGCTATCAAAGTTATATAACAATAGAAATAGCTTAAGAAGAAATCTCCACCCGTTTCGTTCAGCCCAGTAATGTGAAAAGTTCACAAGGAGAAAAAAAAAAAAAAAGAAAGTGTTTTTCATTGTGAACAAAGTAACATTTGATAGCTGCACGTCTAATTACTCCTGGCACCTCCATGCTCACAGCTGGGATCATCATAGTGCTGATAAAAGGGGCTGTGCTGGGGACAGCATGACACCAGGACCAAGATATCCATTTTGCCAACCAACTCCCTCTCCCCTCTCCCTCAAACCGCAAGAGAAAAAGAACCCACCAAACCCATCATCCTTAATTTACAGTCAAATTGCAGTCAGAATTGTTAACTGGAAAATGTCATGCCAAAATATCCCGAAGCATGAGCGTGGTGGAAGGGGCATGGGGAGCCCTCAGGTGCTGTGGCTAGCTCCAGCCACAGAGGTTATCCATCACTCTGTTCTGCAGGGCAGATGCCCATATAGGCACAGAAGCAGCCTTGTGTAACTTGGGGGAAACACAAAGGATCCCTGGCTGGAGAAAATCTGGCTCATCAGGAACAGGCTAAAGTTATAGAGGATGGGGAGTGGATCCCCCCAAGCCCAGCTGGTGCCACATCCCAGAGCTTCCATGCAGGCACACGCTGGACTGGTGCAGGCTTTGCACAAAAGGCTGTTCCTGCAGACAACGAGCCTCTGCAGCGAGGCCGTGAAGCTTCACCCTCCCACGGAAGCAAGGGGTGGGTTTCCTGCCAGAGGTGATGGCCTCAGCCGTGTGCCAGCATGCTCTGCACCTGGAGAAGGAGGGGTGAGACCATGGAACTGCTCCTGACAAAGCAGGTTTGATGCCCTTTGAGTCAACACTTCCTTATCAAGTGCCTTGCTGCTGGAGATGGGTGCTCTGGGAATGCTCAGGGTGATAGCCAATGGTCAGCTCTGGTGGATTCCACTGCTATCAGTGGCCTCACAATTTTCCATAAAATTAAGATTCAAATGCATGAGCAAGTGTACTTGTCTGAAAATTTCTTCACATCAAGAGCTTTTAAACTCTGGATTTACAGTGGGATGGATTGTATTTAATTTAAGGCTAATTTCATACTTAATATCATTAACATATCACTATTGTTACAATACTTATTATCAGTGTTGATGAATGTTTCTTTGGCTTTTTTATTTTTGGAGTTTCCAATTATTTTTCATTTTCTATAACTAAGACAGCAAGCTTCAAGCAATGAAAACTCCCACAGGTACAGAAGATTTTATGAGGATGAAAAGCTGGGGTACCCACTTGGTAGGGTGTTAGGTGGGCAGGGAAGGAAACAGGAGATCCAGGATAATTGAGGAGGGGTGGGAATAGCACTGCAATGGACCAAATGGTCTGGCTGTAACTGAGGAGGAAACAAGTCAAAGTACACATATTTTTGAGGTGGTGAAGAAATCAAATAAAAATGAATATTTTCATAGAAGCAGAGATAAACTGAATAAGTATATGCATTTCATCTCCTTGCTTGATCTTTGCATAGAAACAGAACCCATAGCATTTATAAAATCATTCAAAACCAAAAGAGGCTACAGCTGCTCGGCTTCTTTATGAGAAAGAAAACTATCCTGATCACCTTTATAAGGAAATAAATGTCAATAGAAAATATTTTCACATTTGAAACTCAACAGTAAATTAAATAAAAATAAAATTGTATGAAGATTTTGCTTTTCCTCCACAGCTAATATGATATATTGTTTGTGTACATTTCTCAGATCTGTGGCCTGATTTCTGCTACGCACAAAATCAGGCCAAAGCACTTCACTCTGTCCTGGAACACTATAAAGAGCAAAACTGACACCACATAACAGACCATTAATATCTTTTGTAGGGAAACTTTAAATATGACTCTTCAAATGTTCTTTTGTCACTAACTCAACCACCAACCTTGCCAGCAGCTCTGATACATCAGTGTAGTCATAGATACAGGGATTGCTTAACCATGACCTTGTGCTTAAATCATAATCATAAAAGAATATATTTCAAATGAATCAGATGTTCAATGTTAATTTTTTTTTATTAGTCCAATAGTCCAAGCATTGTCAAGCTCAGTTTTTAAAAATTTAATTGTAACTCCCCATATTACAAGACAATAAAAAAGAATACATGCTAGGCGCCCTATTTTTTGTTTCTTTTTTTCTTTTTTTCCCTTCTTTCCAGTTGGTTGGAAAGCTTTTGGAGCTCTGTCCCTTAACTCCAATTTGTGAAAGTTGGTCTTGGGAAGAAAATGTTTTCTCAAAGAATATTAATGCTTCTGTGAAAATCAAAGCGTTATGGAAAGAAAAGTTTTAGTTTCAATAAGTTCCATTAGTGTCAGCCTGATACAAAATTTTATTAATAATATCTAAAAGAGAGGCTTTTCATTTTCAGAATGGATTTTTTTTTTCTTTCCTTTAGAATGGCTTAAAAAATTCTAACTTAAGTTATTCTTTCTTTAAGTGGAGGTTAGGAAAAAACAAGTCCAGCTGACCTGAAATCAGGTATTTTTTCAAACTGCATTTGTGACAATTTAATTTCAGGGTGGGATATATGGAATTTCCCATGAAACACCATATTTCATTCTTACCTAGTCTTTCTCTTAGAGAAACTCTCATACATTTTATGTTGTCAGGTAGTTAGGCTTTTATAGTTTTCAGGCTTTCATTTCAATTCTGAAACAGTTACTGCTTCAGCCTGCAGATAAAACCTTGTATCGATAAGAAAGTAATGACCACCTGCTCAGCTGAAAGAACTAATTCTCCAGTTGAGGTGGGTTAAATGCCCCCTGAAATACATACTCTGTTTTGAGAATGATGACAAAACTGGTGTGGTCCTAAGCGTGGACTCTTTTCTGTAAGGGTTCACCCAAGCCAGCATTCTTCACTGATGTGGCTGGGTTCCTTTCAGCTACCTCTCTTCAAAATGCCTCCAGTTGCTGTATGAGATTCTCTTCCTGTTCATCTGAAAGCTTCTCATTCTCTTTTCCTTTTTAAATACAACACACAGCACTGGTCAGCCAGCAATGTTTGGTGGGCAAAAGCCAGATCTGGAAATAGCAGCTGTTTTGCTGATGACTGCTGATGGCTCCTCCTCCAGGTCCCACATGCTTTCCATTCTTACAGCAATCCTTCAAATCTCATGTGTTTCTGTAACCCAGCCTTCCATTTTAAGATAAAAAGAAAAAAACAAACAAACCAGAAAAACTCTTCTCCCTGGGTTCAATCTCAGTTCAACCTTCACTGTCACTGAAGAGGCCACAGGGGTTCACCTCAGAAGGCCTTACAGCTTATCTGCAAACTTCCACATTTTAAGGCTGGTCTTTCATAAGACCAACTAGAATGTTAAGAAAAAATGTGTATGTAGAACCAAATGACTAGAGTAAAATACTCATCTTTTTCTGAATTAATTCTGATCCTGGAAGCAATGAATATTTCTGTAACAAATGTGCGTTCATTTTTGTATTAATAAAAACCACAATAAATCTTTCTGCAGCTTGAACAGATTTTTTCTCTTTTTCTGTTTTGTTTTTTTTTTTTTTTTTGCAGACAGAAGTCTTTGTAGCAGTCTGCAAGGAACTCTGAGTGCTGTAGTGGTTTCAGGCTATCTTTGCAATCCTGTTCTAATTTAATAAGATTAATGGCAGAAAATTAGTCAAGACAAGCGTTTGCCTGTTTCGTTTACCCTGCTGTAGTTCAAATTATAGGTGGGAAGTGTTTCCCCCAAGTACTACTTAATTAGTAATAGGCAGAAGGGAAAGTAAAAGAAAAAAAAAATGTAATCCTTACAGGGGAAAAATATTTGTAGCTCTGAGGCTTTCCTGTTAGTACAAAGGACTGAATTTGAATGATTCAGAGGACTATATAAATATAATTTGAAATTTCTCCCTTGAAAAAGAAATGTAAGAGGAAAAAAGCCACACAAGGTACATAAACTTCCATGAACACTTTACAGTCCATTTCAGAGAGAGAATCAATCTTATTGCAGCTGTACATTTCATTAGTTACAAAAATGTAGTAAAGTTTCTCTCTCTCTTGTTTTGGCTAGAAGACATAGTCCTGACATGTGCTAATGACTGGCTAGGACAGAATATTATGTTATGTTCTTGGAAAGACTTTTTATGCTGTCCCAGATTTTCAGCTGTACAAGTTAATGTGAATTGTTAGGAAGAGAAAAAACATAAATAAAATTAAAATCAATATTTTCAGTTGGTTAATGAGGCAGCCAGGATCTACTGCAGTATTGTGATGTGACAGATACATTTGCAACTTTCCCTGACAAAGCACAAATTAGGGATGGTTAAGAGCCCCATGCACATGTGCCCCATTTCCTCAGATGTGGCATGAGCTCCTCCAACTTTTGTTTGCCCTGAAATCTATCCTGGATATTTACTCCATCCTTTCATCAGTTTTGAAAGGTGTGTTGTACAGCAGTACTGCGAAGCTGTGCTATTGCTTATAGCAGTGGGAAAGGTTAATGGAAATCTCCCTGGGAAGTTTTTGAGGTTCAAAAATTTCAGAATACCTGCAATCCTGCAAAAAAAAACAAACCAAAAAACAACTCATAAACCTCAGATGACCAAACTTTGAGGAACAGTAATAGGAAGAAAGCAGCCATCCTTGTGGGAACTTGTTTAGCCATTGCACTCTGGTGTGCTGGTTCTTAGGTGCCTCATAAATTGTAAAGTAACAGAGCAGTGGGACTCACCAGTGGAGTCTCACAGTGCTAAAAGGGAGGGTTTTTCTGCCAGGCTACTCCCTGAAGGATGTGTATTCAAATTGGAGGAGGTGGGAGCAGAAATCCATTGGGGCTTTCAAAGAAAGGTTACCGGACAGCTAGCCAAAGAGCGCGCATGTGTGCTGCAAAAGCACGGGTCAGGCTGGCACCTGGAAAAACTATGGAGGTTCTTAACAAAACTTCCCAGATCCTGAGGAATATACATCTAGTGCAATTTGAAAGATGAGCTGTGGCTACAGGAGGAATAGTGGGTGTGTTGTAATGCATCTGGGGAGTAGGGGGAGAGAATGGCTGGTTTATCTGAACAGTTTGTGCGCAAAGTGTTCAGAGTTATGCCACTGTCAAAATGATCAGCAACAAAATTATCACTAGCACTTATAATGTCACCTCAGTTCCTATATGTATAGTTATTTATATATCACCTGTAAATGGCTTAGGGAATTAAAAATTTATTCACAGGTAAGAAAAGCTTCAGATGAGCAGGGGGGACTAGAAATGCAAGCTCCCTTTTCTAAAACAGTTTATGTTCCTAAAAATCCATGTCACTAGGTGTCATGCGAGTTCTTATACAATTTTTGCAAATTACTGTTATTGATTAGTAATAAAAAGGCAACTATGTCTTTGTACACACAAAATACCTTCTCTACTTCACATTTGGAGTGATACTGTGAAGTTTTTCTGAGAGATCAGATTTTGACAGATTCAATCCAAATACTGACTGCATTAAACATCAACATAGATGATACACAATCTACCATATGGAGCCATATGTGAGCAAAAAAATTAAACTAACAGGACACAAAATTTTGAGTGTTAGGAACAACTAAATCTAAAGTAATCCTTTAATATCCCCTCTATAACAGAAGATTTTAATAAAAGTACTTTCATTTTTATTTCTGGCCTTGTTATTTTCTTTAGGTTTTCTTGAGGACTTAATTTGCTTTCTGAAAAACACATGCTGATTTGTCACTCTTGGAAAATACTGTGACTTCTTAGACCAACACCAAAGCAGGGGGTTCAGTTTTAAACTAAGGGATAAATTGAGTGACATCAAAAGAAACTGTGATGTGGGGAACATCTGCAAATAAAGACATTCAGCCAGGTACTGACCTTTTATATCAGCCCCTAATTGTGGGTAATCAAAATTAAAAAAGTTCACCAAACATTCACTGTTGCTTTGACAAACAGTATTAGGGACATGGTAGTTCTCAAAATTAATAGAATTCTCACTCATACGTAGCAGCTGAATCTGCAGCCTTTTCCTATTATTCTTATTAAGTAGAATTATCTTATAAACACAAGAAACAAATCTATAAAAAGAGAAGAAAAATTTAGAAAGACCAAGCAATTATTTGATCTCCTACTATGTCTCCTTTAGCCTCTCAAACCTCACTGCTGTTAAGGTATATGGGACAATGTGTGATCACAGGGACATCTTGCAACCAAGAAATGTGAAAAATATGGAGAGAAGCTTATTCCCCAAACTGAGCTTTTGGGTTAGAAATACTATTTATACAGTCTCTCTCTCTCCCTCATCAGAATTTCTTTTTCTGGAAGTTGATGCCAAAAATTGAAACCAGACTAAAAACTCATTGAGGAGAAAATGTTATTACCTCCCCAGCCACCCACTGGCTGTTCAAATAATATTGTATATATCTGTGCACTTCTGCATATTTATTGAATTTGTCAAGTTTTTGTTCCCAAGTAAAACTTATTGGCCCTGTCAAAAGTTCACCAGCTGCACAAGTGACTTTGATGGCCTGAGGAACAGCCCTGGCGCTAGCGTCATGGAAGAGCCTGTGGCTTTCCTCTCCCTTTTCCAGCTGAGATTGGTATGTTGATGCATGGGGCCCAGAGAAGATACAGAAGGAGGGAAATTGAAAAAATAATAAACAATAAAAATATAAATTACAGAAAGCGCTCACCAAGCCATCCTGGTTTTATTATACGGCCTTGGGAAGGAATTTTGTATTTTCAATCAAACTATGTGGAATATGCATTGTAAACATTCTGCACCCACTGCTCAACATTTCTACGGCTTAGTAGGAGAAGAGCTGATAGGAATGTAGAGTGGTTTGCTACACAAGCCTTGTAGTGTGGCTGATGGGCTGTCACCTGGAAAGAACAGGGCTGGTAGGTGTCACCTCTTCAGGTCACAGAGGATGGGAGCAGGACTGTGGGGATCTGGGGCACAAAGGAGAACTGGGCGGAAAAGCCCCTCTTGCAGGAAGATGATGATCAGCACCCTGGTACTAGCATCTTTGGAGGGGCTTCCCTTCCCCAAGACAGGGAGAACAAAGAACGAAGACTTGGATAAAAAAATTAACCATCTACCTTGTTAACTTATGGTCTAGAGGGCAACTCTAGACATATCTGCTGGGCCAGTCATTCATGCATGGGAGGTCTCATATGTTACAAGTAAAAAGTTAGGGGGGCAAAAAAAAAAAGAATGTAGACAAAAAATACTTTGTTTTGTCACAGCAAATGTGAGAGGCTAGAAAGGTTCAACCTGTGGCTTCTCTCTCATCCTCATACTTACACAATGGTTTTCCCAATGTGCTTAAATGACTTCTCCACAAATTCACGGACACTGTGGACCTCCCCAGTGGCTATGACAAAGTCCTCAGGCTCATCCGTTTGCAACATCAACCACATGGCCTGCAGAAAGACAAACATAGTCAGATTCGGTGCATGTGTAAGTGGCCTCTCTGGCACATGATATTGCATTTTTGATTTGGAAATAACTACACATATACACACATACCCCAAGTTGTGGAAATTAGCACTTTCTTTACACAGCGGCTATTAACCAGTCCAGTGCAACTCTGAAAAGAGTTCAATTATTTCGTATTACAGAAAACAATGCTGTATTTGATTTTCAATTTGTTTCACAGCAGGAGTTTCTGCAGGGGAGACTTTAATATGTTTACTTTTGAACACTGAGACTTGGTTTAGTGCTCAGGAGCATGGATTCACTTGTTTAAAGCACTGCATGAATTGACATGGATATTTGGAAAAGAGTAAAATTTTGTAATATTTCAGTCCAGAGTGCTGTTGTCTGTCTGCTACAGAATGATGTCAAACGTATCGAAGCATGAAAATGTGGATCCTTTTGGCTGTTTCTTCTGCCACATTTGTTTTGCCTAAACTGAGATTTTAATTAAGAGTAAGTATTTTAAAAGGTATTTAACCAAGTTAATCCAGTTTCCCTGCTGAATATCTGTTGAATGTTGCATTTTAAAGTACTGTAGAAGAAATTTTTGACACAGGAATAGAGAAAACCCTGGCAGAGAAGCAACAGAATCATTAACCATAATTAATCAATTTCAGAGGACTGTTCGTGCAGCAAGGGTTTCACAGTATTTTTTGAAGCAAACCTTCATTCAATTGTAAACATATTTCCATTTCATGGGACCAGCTTTTAATTCCCACAGCACTGTCTTTCACAGAATCCTCTCCCACAAACAAGTAATGGATGGGTGGGCGCCGTCTCAGAGGACTGGCCAGCTAAGTCAGCACGAAAGCTGGAAAGCAGATGGAAAATAGGTATTCAAAGACATGTGTGACTTGTCTGAGATATCACCACAGGTACATTTCAATTTTCTGGTGTGCAAGGCAGTGCTCTAGTGACTGGACTGTTTGATTGCATAGGAGCTGTAGTTGTACAGAATAATTATTACTTTAGATCAATCAAAATGATGCAAACGCTTCATTTCCTTTGGAGAGGAAAAGGGAATACCTGTATGGCATGATCCTCGTTTAATAAATAACCAGAAAAAGGAAACAAAATAATTCAACTCTCTCTCCATATGGTAAAAAGGACTGTCATCCTCTCACATTGTAATCCATGATGCTATTTGCATTGACCTCTTCACATCAGCTTTAAAGAAAACAACTTTAGTAGGTCCCTTGATGGTAGTGGATACTCTGCAAATCAGATTAATAAAAGCTTTGGGATAGCTCAGTTTCTCTTGGTAAATACCACCTGAAATATTCAATTTTTCCTCTCTATTCCCAATAAATCAGTGACCTGTATAGGAAGCAATACATTCCACTTAAATGGTTCTAGGTGTGAGATGTTTTTCTTTACAGTTATTATTTTATGCATCTTCCAAAGTTTTGACAAGATTTTATTAACATGTTCCTTTTGAACCTTTTTACTTCTTGAACTTGCATGGGAGGCTCAGTTTTGGGCAACTGCTGTGCAAGTCCTTGACATAAATTATAAACTGTGCTTTAGGGAGATGACCTGCTGGGCAGGACAATGGCAGCAACTTTATTTTTCCTTTCTAGGATTGAACATCCTAGCCAATGACGCAGAAATACCCAACTGGCTGATGAAACTCATCCTGTGGGGTGGAGATGCCTTAACTTGTATCTCTCATATGAGCTTTTTTGGAACACTGGGGTTTCCCTGCTGATTTGAGAGGTCACCGTAAATCACCAACTCCTGTTTCATCATGACTGGACAAGCTTGCAAGATTCACAGTAGCAGCAGCTGTACAGAAAGGTAACAGGAGTATCTAAAATAAGTGGTTGATAGTTTTGGTTCTCCCAGTCTAGTCCCTGATTTCACAGACCTTCAGGTTTCCTTAAGCAGTCTAGCTGAAAACAACATGTTTCCTTGTATGAGAGGGCACTGTTTGGGTAAATAAGGATTTCCAGCATTAGACAATCAGTCAATCAGGGGCGGTGGTTCTCCTCCCAGCTTTGGTGGATGCTTGCTGTATATAATGACCTCCTTTTCTTGCGTTGACACTGTACTGTCAGTTACATTGGAGATGCAACAACAAAACCTCGTTTATTGGTAAAAATCTCCCCTTACCCAAAAATGCTACATTGGTTGACCGAATCTGCATTGGTTGACCGAATCTGCAATTAACATAAGCACCTGCTATTTACTATGACTGTTGGTAAAGTAATATTAATATATCTAAGCAGAAGCAGGATCAGACTTTCAACAATTTTTTGCCACCCCTCCACTTTTAAACACCTCAGTATTGTAATTCCTTTGACACAGTTTCAGTGCAGGTACTTATGCCAAGACATTCAGCAATCCAGCAAGTATTTAAAATATTTATGCATTACTTTTCCTATTAATATGCAATAGAGTTGAAAGTTTCTCTTTACTCTAAAACACACCTACACTGAAGGAGGCAGCTGCAAAAGACTAAAAAAAACCAGCCTTTGACAGTGGGCGCAATGAGGTTTTATGCATTTAAACTTATCAACTCTTATCTACTGTTTCAAAAAGCAAGCAATCACTGTCTTAGCAACACGACTTAAACTGCAGTAAATTTTAACAGGATCAACTTAGAAACAATCAAACAATGCAGACAGAGTTGCTAAAAGTGATTTTTTTCCTTCAAATCCTACTAGGAAAGAATGTTTAGATTAATGGTTATTTGAGAATCTATCACTGTGGGTTCTTTTATTTTTTCTGGCATTCACAATTGTTGGCACTTAAGAATTACCTCAATCCAATCAGGTATGAAAAAAATTAACATGCTAAAAATTACAAAGTAAGTGATCGCTCTGTTTTCCTTTGAGGAAGGTGACCAAATGCTCTTGCTTTGAAGGGGTCTGCATGAACTGCCTGTAAAAAAATGCCAAGGCAAGCAAGAAGAGAGAAAAAACATTGAACAAGTTCCACAGTCAAAATTATATTTCTTCAGATACAGCCCATGACAACCAATAAGACATCCATGTACAGGCAGTAGCTATATCCTTTCCCTACATCAAGCGCCAGGAATGTGATTCTCCTCACATCAGACTAATAAAGGTCCTTGACCTATGAATTTCTAGGCATTTCCTTTAAGAATTCATATTGTACCAGATTCAAGGCTGAGAACGAGAGGAAAGGGGGTGATACAGCTCCAGGTTTATTTGTCATTACTGAATGGCTTACTGGTTTTAACAGAGGGGAAAAGCTTTGTTTAAATTTCCACTGAAAGTAATTAATGGTTATTGACTGGCAAATGAAGAACAGGTGACACTCTGAATTAGAAGATAAATGATCTCATGTTCTAGCGTGATAATGGGTTAGTAATTGCTACAAAGCCTCAGATTAGTGGGTCCCATCATAATGCTAGATCATGTCCAGAACACAAAGGCCTCTGTGTGAGAGGTATTCAGCCGTTCACCTCCTGATCCAGCTGCAGAGTGATTTGCTCCATTTATTCTCTGATGGACTGCACAACTGAGGCAAAAGTTCACCCATTCTCACCTTCCTGTTCACATGCTGAACCACATGACCCATGACATGGCTGAACTGGGATAAAAACATTGCCCAGCCTTGGCTCTTGGCTATCTTTTAACCATCACAAGGTCATATATTTTAGGAATTTTTCTGGTGCAGGAACTGAGAATTGTGGATTTTCCTGTATTTCTTTGTAAAGGTTTTTTTCGGATGGGCTGACAGCAAGTAAAGAAATTATTTGTGTTCAGTTCTGCTACCCTTTCCCTAATTTTTTGCTCAGTCCAGATAACAAAATATGGGTAGATGTTGAAAAGGAGGAGAAAACTACCATGGAAACAATTCAAGCTTTGACTCTCTTGGAGTAAGACTCTTCCCTTAATGGCAGAAGTGACAAAGCATATTTTCATATTTGAATTCTTTTTGGCTCTGGTCTAGTGAGTCACAAAGTCTAAAGGCACTTCTATTCAATTTACTTTTAAAGACAGAAAACCAACAGGAGATACATAGCTAGTCTAGCAAGCAGACACACTTTTATGATTATGTGGACTAGAATATCTGTTCTGCATGCCTGAACTCCAGCCTCTGCCAAAATCTTTCCTCTTTCATCTTTTTCCTCTACCCTTTTCTCTATATAAACCCCTGCCAGTAGTAAGCACCATTTTCAAGCAACATATCCAAAACATGAACCAGTCTTCTCCCTGCCCAAATTTCTTTGCTTATGCAGTGTTTGCACCTGGGCTAGTAAGCGGGAAAACCCAAGTTTGACTAACACAACCCCCATACAGATACATTTTGTGCATGCCTCTATGGTTGTGATGTGTCTGCTTGTCTCAAGAATCTAGAGTATGTTGTAGATGTGTGCCACCATTAACTTCCAGTCTAGCATCCCAGTAAGAAAACATTTATTAACTGGGCTGTCATCCATGGATAACAAAGACCTGGTAGTTGGGGTTATGTTTAACTCCATATATGTGAGACTTCTGTTTCATTGTCTGCTCTCGCACTATGTATAGTTAAAATGGGCTCATAATCAGGCATCTTCTTATTCAAGAGCAAAAATAAATCCAACCTTTTAAGATTTTTAAGTACAGCTGATAATTTTTGCTCTAGAAATAAAATACTTTTTTTTTTTTTTTTTTTCCCAAAAGAATACATATATAAAGCCTTTTCATGTATCTCATCTAGTTCAAGACCCAGAACAGATATGACTGAACAGGTTTCACAATGGGATAAATAGGAAACGTTCCTGTTGGTACTAATTACTCTTGCCCTGCATTGCTACATAGCAGTTTTTTTCCAAGATCTATACTGTAAAAAAAACCCCACTTTTGCACATATTTCTAAGTGTAACGCAGAGAAATTCTGACTTTGTATTTGCCACACATGGAGAAAAAAAAATCAAACTGAATCAGTAATGTTTACTTTAGGAGATGGAACAGATAGTTGCAGCCTGATGCAT